GAGGGCAAAGGGGAAAAAACTGAGACAACTGTAATAGAATAAACATTAAAAAAAGAAAATATTGGAAGAAAAAAAAAGAAAAGAAAAAAAAACAAATGAAGCAGGAAAGGAAATTAATTTGCTCACATAACACCAAAGTGTAGGAAAGATGCAGGCTCACACAAAACTTCATCCAAAAGTGTTATCAGGACCCAGTTTCTCTTTCTGCATTAAATGCTAACTTGGTTGAGTTATATCCTGGGTAAAGCTCTTCCTTCAAAAAGGGAAGTTGTTGGCAGCTGCTCCAGACTTTCACTCTTTTAAGTTTAAACCCAATAAATACAGTCAATCAAATTTTGGGATTCATTCTGATTGGAACAATGTGTTCTTATGTCAATCTTGAACCTACTGCTGTGAGCAGAGGCTTTGGGTATGCTGATTATCTAATTCCCATCTCTGGAACCACAAATAGATCTCTACCCAGAGCATATAAGGAGTTCCCCCAAGAGGAAACCAGGGTGTGTTACCAAAAGAAAGGAGGAATGGAGTCTGAGCACCAACAATAACAAATATCCACCCTAGACCACAAACTCTAATGTCTTCAGAGTTCTGTTTATATAAACTTGTGAACTGAATGAGTGAAAGATACAGATGGTGATGGTTACTGTGATCTAACAGCAGTGCAATAAATTTTTTAAAATGTCATTAGCCAAACAAAACACATCTGGAAAACTAATTTTGCTTGAGAACCACCAATGTGCAACTACGGGTCTGTATAATAATTCTGAAAGTTAAAAGATGTAAATGGTATTTATAGTATTATATTACATAAAAAACATAAACAGTGTTTATAGCAGAATGAATTAATGTTTTCAAATTCTCTAGGACCCCTGTTATGACTAATGCGGCAATCAAAGAGAATGTTCTTGGTATCCAGTTGCAAAGATTCTCTCCACTTACTTTCCACCCATTGCTCAGAATCCTGAGGCATTGTAGTTTACTGCACACTTGTACCATATTCTAAATGGCAGGTTTTGTTGCCTACCCAACTGCCCTTCCCTTACTTTTCCTTGCTGGGATGTTTTCTTTTTTTCCTTGGTTGTTGCCATTGATGTTCCAATTCTTTTTAAATTTCTTGTCATGTCATAATCTATTTGTAGTTTTACAAAAAGGAGGAAGGAATTTGAAGGTTGATTGGGGAGATCTGTGAATGTTGGTGGGACTCAAATAACTAGTCTACTTTCTGTTAACAGGCAGGGAGATTTCTGATACTATGTTAAATCCTAAATAGACCAAGAGAGTCTTTATTCTTGGATACTGACATCCACACAAGCTACTCTTATTAGTTCATTAGACAGTTCATTAAATAGTTTAGATAAGACACCACCTTAATTTTTGTTTTACTCATTTATTATTTTATTTTACCTTATTTTATTTTATTCATCCATGCATTCATTTTATTCATTCATTTTTGTGGCAGGTAGAGGAGGGTATAGACGACTTTTGACTTCCATATTCAGATTTTCAATTAATCCCACATTTTCAGACCCCTCTTACATTCCATTGTACCTGGGCCAAGTCAAGAGATTCTTTGGTGTCCAAATCAGCATGCTGGCTTTCTGTTTTTTTTCCTTTTCCATTAATTAATAATATTTTATCTGCTTTTTTTTCCCTATAGGAACTTGCTGAGTTTTCTTGTATAGTCATAGCCTTCTTCTATTCTCCTTGTTGTTGTGATTTTTAAGCTTTTATAGGGAGTCCACTACTGTTATCTTAATGGTTTTTTAGAAATTGAATGATATGAATACATGTGCTTAATTACCACACAATATTAAACTTGAAGTCTCTACATACTTCTTATTAACAGCTGTACAGTAATCAGTTGCGTAGATCAGCAATTTTCAACCTTTTCATCTCATGATACACATAAACTAATTACTAAAATTCTGCCACACACCAAAAAAAAAAATTTTGCTGATCTGACCAAAAAATAGGTATAATTTTGATTGATTTACAAAAAAAATAATAACAGTAATTGCCTACTTTTTTGCTCCAAAGGGGTTTTTTGAACAAAATCAAGAGTTAACCAATCAGGTGCAGCCTTATTATGCAACATGACTAATAAGATGCAACTCTATTATATGACCCATATATTTATGGTTCAAGACAGGGTATTCACAACAATGGCTATTATATGGCTGTTGTTGTCCTTTTTAAATTTGTCAATCTAAGGGAAAAGAGGTCAGTGCTCTGTCTAAATAGTCAGGTATTACATGTTTTAAAAATTCTTGTGGTACACTGGTTAAAAGTTGCTCTTAGATATACATGTTTTCTTATGTAGTAACTTCTTTTCTACAGACCAACAATATATTTTGTGACTCCCAAAATTGCTGCTATGAACATTTTTGGACATCTATGCATATGCATATCTGTAAAATAAATTCTAAAGGTAGAGCGTTGGACTGAATGCTTTTGGAAAGCGTTCTTTGAAGAGTGTGTGTGTGTGTGTGTGTGTGTGTGTGTGTGTGTGTGTGTGTGTGTTTGGAAAGTGATATTGTATAGTAATTAAAAGCATGAACTCTGGGGCCAGGCTGCCTGGGTTCATAATCCTGGCTCTCTTCCTTAGCACTGCTGTGACCTTGGGCAAGTTACTTAAGTTTCTGTGTCTTGTTTTTCTAATGAGTAAAAATGAGAGTTAATAATATCACCTTTCTCCTAGGGTTGTAAGGATTAAGTGAGTTAATTTTCTGAAATTCATGTCTGATAATAAACACTCAATAACTATTGTCTGTTAATATTGTTACTCTAGGTGAGGGTTGGCAACCAAGCTAGTGAAGAAGAAGTCACTGCAATAAAAAAAAAAAGAAAAAAGAAAACAAAAGAAAAGAAAAGAAAGAAAGAAAATAATAAAAAGAAAGAGGGGAAAGACAAGAAAGGAGAAAGGAAGAAAAGAAAAAAAGACTTAAGAATCACACTAGTGAAAAAAAGTTCACCGTTTTTGGTGGGCTAGAGCAGGTACTTGGGCTAGTGCTCCTAGGCATGACCCTTGGGGGAGCCAGCAGCAGGGTTGCAAAGGGGACAATAAGAGGGATACAGCTGACCTTAGGGAGAGGCTTGGAGCCTTCTCACCCAGGAGTCAGGGAAATGTGACCACTTGAGAGCTGCATTGTTAACTGCTGTACCTCTAGTTCTAGACAGTGCTTGGCACATAGTTCAATGAATAAATGTGTGAGTGAATAAAACCAGGCTTAAGAGTTATTTTTTTCTTCTCTTTAATTCCTTCCTGTCATCTTCACGCCTTCAATAAAGTCTTGTTAACTATTACAGGCTAACTTTACTGTGAAACATGCTTGGGAGAAAGGGGACCTGGGATGAGGAACAAGTGAGGAAAGCATCACGGAGTCACTCTGCCTAAGGCCACAGTAGCAACCAGTGCAGAGAGTAACCCATGCAATTCCTAGGGCTTCCCAGGAATGCTTGTGGAGGAGCCTGCTAAGTGCTTGCCTCTCCTGCTACCCTGTAGGACTGCTTGTACTTGGGCATTGAAAGGAGAATAACATCTGAAGGCTGGAAATTCTGGTATAGCTGGGTTAGCACAGGGCCTGCTACATGGTATCCTCTGAGTAAGTGATAGCTTTTTATATGCTATTCTAAGTTTTGGTAAAGTTTACAATAAAGCCTGCGTTTGATGCTGTATTTATTTTTTCTTAAACCATGTTTGATTTCGTGTGATAGATATGGCTGCCCATTCATGACATAGTCCCAATACAGTTGTTATGTCGATAAGATGATTGGCAGGCCGAATGAGACTCAAAGACCCGGGAGGGGAGCAGGGATCCCAGCCTTATAACCAGCCTTCCTCAACAGCTTACCCTTTCTTCTTGACATCTCAAAGAATCGGTTTCTGCCTCTATAACATGGGGATTAGTGTTATAATTTCTACCACCTGTCTGGGCTTATGAGCCCATCTTGACAGTAAATTAGAAAGAAAACAACCAAATCAATTAGAATGGTTAATGTACCCTGAAATCTTGACCTGAAAGTCACTATCAATGGTAAAATCATTACAGTATTATATTTCTCTAACATTCCTAGCAGATGCTTGGCTAAGGAAAAAACAATCTTCATTTTGAGCACTGTGTTAGAATATGGTTATAACTTATTATTATTTTCACCATTCACATAGTAATGTGTTGAAAAGTAGAAGACCTATGTTCAAGAGTGGATTATTTTCTGAAATGAAATAATATGTACAGGAGATGGACAGAACAGACATTCACACACATATAATACCTGTGTTAATTGTTCACAATGGCTCACTTTTCTGTTTTTTTTTATTTTTTTGGTGGTGTTGAAAAATTAATCAAAGACTCAGCATGATAGTAAAAAAGCAAGTTAATAAAGCCAGGAAGTTTGTTTGAGGCAAAGATTCTTGAAAGAGTCAGAAAAGTCCTTGTGACATCAAACCCAAACTTAGATCTCTCCAGACAAAAGATTCAAGCCTACCTCCCATTTTATAATGAAACAGCTGCCAAGGTCGAGGGCTCTCTTGGGGGGTCTTCATTTGTGATAGATATCTGGATGGTGTTTGTTTTGTTTGGGGGAATAAATATTTGAAAGGGTAACTGAAGAAGGTTATGCGGCTGTTATGATGTTATTGATACACAGGCTGACGCTATTATGGCGGATACTATCAGGCTACATTATCTTTATGCCTCCAAGGTAACCTGAAACAACTGTCTATTGACTTGGCACTACTTTACATAGAAGCGGTTGCCCCGCCTGGGGACTGTAACCCAAGCCAACCACATACCTCACAGACAGCTTTCTTTAGCCGTGAAATTGCCCAGGGATGAATGCTTCTGAGTGGGGATTAGCCACTGAGTGAGTCTCAGGGAGGGTGGCCTTGCCATCTTCTAATCTTCTATTGAGGGGCAACTACTACAAAGTCCTTCTCTACAAGCAAGGAAATAGTTATTTACTATAAGGAATCTGGAGGCGATCTGAACCCCTGGAAATTTTTCTTTCCAAAACATGAACTTTGCCATGTTTCGCTGCTGGTCATGTCCACATGGAAAGCAAGGCTGGCCAAAAGACTGAAGGCTCCATCTAGAAAGATGCATCCATTTCCATGTTCAGCTCTGCTGACCTGTTTTGGGAATACGAGGGAGAATGCTCCCTTTGATCAGCCCAGCGTGCCTGACACTCATTCCACCATCTATGATCAGCCCATGGCTAAAGCGGGTGGACACCCAAGTCACCCGAGAGGGGAAGAAGGAACTCCAGAGAAAAGGCGAGATTCTGGCACCCATTCAGAGAGAAATGGCAGTGCAAATCGGAATTCAAGTAACCACACCACTGTCCAGCCTGCTGAGACCTCTGAGGATGTGCCTGGGTCCCTAGATGGTGAACTGGATTGTGAAACAGTTACTTTTCAGACTTCTATCCCCAGACCATCAATTATTGAAATGCCAATGGTGAGTATTACCAATGCTATTATAGAAGGAATGTTGTTGGAGGAGAGTTCTGATCATTTGGTGAATGCCTTCAGGAAACAAACTTGTTTAACATTAGAGGTGAAAGACATTGAGGAGAATAGTGAGAGGAAGTGTGTAAAGCCTCACAAAGTTCTCAAAGATATGGGGGGCGGTCATGGCAAAAAACACTGAGGCCTTAGCAATGACCAATATTGACGTTTAAGTAACTGCCCATAGTGCTTCTGAGCCAACAGTGTCTCCATAAAAGATAAGAAATAAGAGAATCTGGGAAAGCTTTTTAAAAAAACTGGTCTGTGAATTTATTTATATGAAAATCCACACTATGAAAGGTTGGATTATAGGATTTAACACATTGCCTTTACTTAAAGTGAATCACATGATATTAAAGCAATCTTGGAAGATTTGGAAATTATGAGCACTGTATGCAGAGCAATAAAAAAAGGAACTGACAGATGCAATTGTTTATAATACGGATGTTTCTGTGATTGTTTTCTGAGACCTAAAGGCAGGAGAAGGACATTATTTGAAAAATATGGTGCTACTGCTCTTATATGGCAGCAATTGTGAGTTATTGATCTCTTTTCCTTTTTTGGCTTTCCTGAATTTTAATTGTTGAATATTCTGTTTGGATTGAGCTGCAGTCATGCCAACATTTTTTGGTAATTTCAATTTGGGGAAGCAGAGTAGAGGCAGGGTTTCTTGAATGGTGTTTTCCAAATACCAAATACCCCTTGAGCATTTTTGGGTCATATTCCTGGCAAATAGCTTAGAACCAGCCTTGTAAAACTGAGATGTCTTTGAGGTTCCTTTACTAAAATATTTTGATTTAAAAAGTCATTTTCTGCCATGTAGTTTAACAAATCATTTTTGTTTGACTTGCTGACTTGAACCCATGAAGCTTCATTACCAATGAATGTAAACTGCCAAAGAGTGAAGACAGGGTTAAAACATAATTTAAAAAATAGTTTCATTTGACATTCTATAAGATTATATCAAATAATTAAAAGAAACAAGAATTTCACCTAGCCCTCTGTTACAGCAAGAACTGTAATATTTTTTTCTAGCACCATTAAATAAAAATCCCAAACAATAAACAAAACCTGAAACATTTATCCAATTTTCAGTTGAATATTAAAATATTTTTAGGAGTACTGTAGTTTGCTGAGTGAACATCAAGGCCAAGTTTATATTTCTTGCATGTTAAATGAACTGATGGTGTACTTATTTTAATAACTGGAGACTTTGTGGGGTAAACATTCCAGCAACCAAGAACTTACTCTATATTGCTAAGTACATAAGTAAACTCAGAGGTTTGATATAGTTTTACCTCTCTGTTTTAGGGGCATATATGATACCGGGCCTCAAGGTAAATATGTGTATTCAAATATGACCAATTAACATAGTGAGGTAGTATCCATATTTATTGTCTACTTGGTATGAACAAAAGTATGGATAGATGACAGAAGTTAGATAGGTCTTATGATAGAATCAGCCCTAATGCAAGACTAAATGTAAGTGTCCCCAAGAGAGACACACATCAGATGGCTCAAAGGAGGTTGGAGGGTCTGGAAAGGTACGTTGTTAGGAAGGTGGAATTTGAGATTTGTCTAGAAAGAGGGTTAGGATTTTTAAAGGGAGAGGTAAAAGGGGATGACATTTCAATAAAAGGAAACTGTATGAACAAAATCATGGATGTAGGGGAATGTGGTGTAGCAATAGGTACATCAGATTGGCTAAAGTAGAGAGAGAGTGGGAAAGGTAGATTAAAGCCAGAAGTGAGTTGCCTTGGGTGCTGTAGTGAAAAATTAATTTATTTGGCAGTGGCAATGCTTTGAGAATTTTGAGCAGAGAAATATCATGCTTGGGACTTCACTCTGGGAAGATAAAAAGGTAGAGCTATGTAGGGAGGATTAGAGTTGGGGAGATCAGAGCTGAGAGGCCATTAAAATAATCCCAGCCCAAGGACGGTTATAAAAGGAGTAGTTATAAAAGGAATAAATAGGAGGAACAAAAAAGGCATAGCAAATGCAACAGTTGACTTGGTGTCTGGGCTAGATAGACAAAACTGGTAGTGATGAAATGAAAACATTGGAAAATTAAGTGCCAGGCTGTGCAAGAAGAACAGGTCTTGTGGGCATGGCAGATGGGCAACTAATCAAGTTCAAATGCAGTGAGCTAAAAATTTATAGAGCACTTGCTATTTGCCAGTCATTCTTCTAAGTGCCTTACAAAGAGTAACCCACTGAATCTGGTATATATTCTTATAATTCCCATTTTAAAGATGAAGACATTGACACTTAGAGAGGGTAAAACACTTGCTCAAGGTCACAGAGGAAGGAAGTGGTACAGCCAGGACTGGAGCCCCATTCTGTTTGATCCCAAAGTTTGGCCTCGTAATTACAACATTCTTCAATGGCTTATCATTCTTTGTGTGGTGTTTGTGAATTTTCAATCAAATATTCATACATGATCTCACTTTGTATGCAATCAAATTTAAATTCCATTTGTGTGTGTATGTGTATATTTAGATATAAAGTGTACTTGTGTGTATAATAATAATTATTATTTGACTTTTATTAATTTGCCTAACCATTTCTATCTTGGTTTCATGGTGTAGAACAATATGGAAAGGGACACTGTCCATTTTGCCTCCTGCTGATGACAAGGTTTTGCTGATGGCAGTGTGGGATTGCTTTGAGATCTCTGATTAAAAGTGCCAGAGAAAGGACCAGATTTTTCATTACCGAGTAATTTTGTCATGACATGTTTCCTCACATTAGATGATGAATGAGCTTCTTTTATTATAGTCTTGCCCAGCAGCAGAAATATTTCCCTTTTGGATGCACTGATCCTCATCATTTAAGCTGCCTTGGTAGAGACAACAAATAACACTTTTTTTCTTTCTCTCTCTCTCTCTCTTTTTTTGAGTTCAGCCTCAGGACATAACCATAGCTAAGAAATGGGGACAAAAGAGCCCTCTATCCATCTTGAGTTAACTGGTGATCAAAGAGAGGGTGATTCATTTAAATCTGAAACAACATCTGGTCTTACAGGAAAAGCTCAAAGTAGAGAAGCCAAGTGAACTAAGTAAAAAGGAAAGGTTTCTGGGTGTGTAGCTATATGTACCTTGTATTTATAAAGTGATGCTGATTAGTCTTCAGCCTTTTTATGGTCATCTCTTCTCAGTTCCAGGCCTGAAATCAAAGTGATGACAACCCTAAAACTGGAATATGTCTTACATCTTCTGATCATAATTTTTTCTTTCTTGGTGGTGTTGCCATTGAAGTGTGTTATAACTGATGGGGTCATAGAGCCAATGAAATACAGAAGCATGCTGTTTATTTCTTTTAGCCTAGAGTTAGCCCACGTGTTCTAACTGTGTGCCAGGACAGCACTAACCCTGGGAAAACAGAAATGATTAAGACATAGTCCCTGAAGTTGCTCACAGTTTGGTGCGAGATACGGTTGGGTTAAAAAGACAGTGTCAATGCAGTAAGAGAAGGCTTACGGGCCAACAATGGATGCCACAGGAACACATGAAAGAGGCCGCTCAGCCTTGGGAAGATAGGGCAGCCTGAAATACAGGATCCGACAGAAGTAAGGCTTGCCTGAGTGGGGTTGGTATGGTACATAAATGTCTGGCACAAGATGGACAGCAATTTAAACATTTCACTTAAAATGTCACATGGTGTGCTTGAACGTGAGATTGTTATGTTACAGAATTACATGCTTATAATTTTGTAATAAAAGATTTTGTAATTAAAAAAGGGGGCATTGTTTGTGCTGGACCCTGTATATAGAGGAGAAGGGTCTCTTCCTAACTCTTTTATAGTTTCACACAGGACCCAACACTGCACCCTTCCTAGTTGAAAGGTGCTGTTTTTCTCTTCTCTGCCTGTCTTTTAACAGTGTTGGCAGTGTAAGAAAAACACAGTTCCCTCACTAAGCCACATCAGAGTAGTTTGATAGTGTCAGAAAGTCTTTCTATAGCCTTCCTAAGTTTTTATCTTGTTCTGACTCCAACAAAGTAGCCAGACTGACACAGGAAGAGAAAGTAATTGTGGTTTGGGAAATCATTCCTAGGTATTTTAAGTAAAAATCAGTGTTACAAAAAGGAAGGGAAACAGGGCCCATCTTGGAGTTGACAACTGCATTTTGTACGTGGCTGATTTTGCTGCTAGACAAGGAAGTGGTAACCAGGATACCCTAAAACCCAGAAGGTGGACTGGACTGAGCCTCAGAGGCTCAGGCAGTCACTTAGTAAGTTTTAATGTCTACTCACTGGGGTGTACCCCTGAAACTAATATAATATTGTATTTGAAAAATAAAAAAATGATTAAAAAATTCTAATCTACAATCTGATATAACACAAAGGATCAGATGGTCAAATCAGAATCATGTTAAGCTAGAGATCTTGCCGTGTCAAGCTTCACAATTAATTTCAAGGTTAGGCAATTAAGCAGCAGTTCCGGGACACAGAGGGTGGATTATGCCGTGTAAGGTGACTAAGGTTACATGATCTCACGGCTGACCACTTCTGGCCAGAGAGTTGCATGTCTATTACAGGAAGGAGGTACCTGAGAGCCACCCTCATGTATATGGTTTTTTTTTTTTTACTTATTAGCATGCAAAATATTGGAGGAAATTCCTAATGATAGTCACCTTTGCTTTGTGATGCTACTTACCATTTCTAGGTGTTTTGAATTTTTGAGTTAAAAAACATTCCTGGATCTATAGTTAAAAGAAAGAAGGAAGAAAGGAAGGAAGGAAGGAAGGAAGGAAGGAAGGAAGACAAAGAAAGGGAGAAAAGAAAAGAATGAAAGAAAGAAAGAAAGAAAGAAAGAAAGAAAGAAAGAAAGAAAGAAAGAAAGAGAAAAAGGAAAAAGAAAGAAGGAGAAAGGAAGGAAGGAAGGAAGGAAGGAAGAAGGAAAGAAGGAAAGGAAGAAAGAAAGAAAGAAAGAAAAGAAAGAAGTCAGAAT